AAAGATAAGCGTACAGAGAGTTTTCATCTGATCCTGACTCATGTAGGTTGGGTTCCTTTGGAATGTTCCACTATTTTTATGTTATACCACCCTAGCAACCCCCTCACCCCCTCCTCATTTCCTTGGTTTGTGGTTTTTCCCTTTAAAAACACCCCTCAAACTGGCAGTCGGGGTCAATTCAGCTCCTGCGTGGGCATGCGAATTGACCGGCAGCTAGTTGTCACGCCCTAATAAATAACCTCGCAATTGCTCCGGTATATGGTGTCTCGAGTAGATTACTGGGTGGTCGCGACTTTCTGAGACTTGAGAGAGGGTCTCCCCTCTGCGGGGGTCTTCACTGGGTACTGGCATCTCCAATACACTTGGGTCTTCCGCTGCAACTAGGCTTCACCAATAGCCTCTCCTAGGCTCTGTTCTTGATACCAAGCCTCAACTCCTTTGCATGACCCCTTCAGTTCTGGGCCATCAACTACAGAAGAGGCTGCACCTTCACCAATGGCCTTCCCTGGCTTCTCACAGTGCCAAGCCCCACTCTTCATGGTCCCTTCATGCCTTCAAAACCAGTACCACCTGGGTGACTCTTACATATTACCAAGTACAGCTGCAGCACGAGGTGCAACTTGGCTATCTCTGGAACACAGCTTCTTATGCTCTCAGAAAACACTTCCCAGAAGATTTCACCTCAATGATGCTAGCCTTCCTAATCACCACTAATTTCTTAACTCCAGCTAATCAGCATAAATAGTCCATAAACCAGCAGTCCCTTCTATTCTGGACTTTAAAGCCAGAGCCACATGGCCAAAGCTACTGAGTTCTGCTACTTGCTGGGGCTGGAACATGGCCCCTTGTTCTATTACATTATCACCATCTATCTGCTTTCTAATTCCTTCACTGTCCTGGAACTTGCTCCGTAGACTGACTTTGAACTCAGAGATCTGCATGCTTGTTCTCCTAAGCACTGGGAGTAAAGGTGTGGGTCACCAAGCCTGGATTTAAGTTTTTCTTCACCCAGAACTTGGTCTGTTCTAGGCTGGCTTTGAACTCAAGAGATCTGCTTGTCTTTGCCTCTTGGGATTAAAGGCTTATACTACCACGTCTGGACCAAAACTTACCTGGGTGGGATCTTGCCCCAAGGTCACTACTCCCTTAATCCAATTTAAAATCCTTGAACACAGGATTCAGCTCCATTTCACTTCCTGGTGTCCCTTTAATACTCAAACCATATATTTTATATTTTTCCTTTCACAGCTTGCTATGCTTGTTGTCTTAGTTAGGGTTTTACTGCTGTGAACAGACACCATGACCAAGGCAAGTCTTTTAAATGACAACATTTAGTTGGGGCTGGCTTACAGGTTCAGAGGTTCAGTCCAGTTATCATCAAGGCAGGAACATGGCAGCATCTAGGCAGGCATGGTGCAGGAGGAGCTGAGAGTTCATCTGAAGGCTGCTAGCAGAATACTGGCTTCCAGGCAGACAGGATGAGGGTCTTAAAGCTCACACACACAGAAACACACCTACTCCAACAGGGCCATACTTCCTAACAGTGCCACTCCCTGGGCCGAGCATATACAAACCATCACACTATTTTCAGCAAGACATAATGATTCCCATCTTTAATCCCAGCTCTTGAGAGACAGAGGCAGGTGGATCTCTGTGAATTCAGGGCCAACCTGGTTTACATAGTGGGTTATATGCTAGCCAGGGCTATGTAGAAAGACCCTTGTCTCAAAAAGCCACAAACTGATTAATTCAGGGGCTAGAGAGATGGCTCTGCAGTTAAGAGGAGTATCCCAACACCCTTGTCAGGTGGCTCACAGTCTCCTGTAACCCCAGCTCAGGGACCCCTCTTCTGTGGGTCCTCTTCCGGAGGGCTTCCCATGATGATCTCAGGCCTGGCCGTGTGTGTGGGTCCAGGCCAAGGGGATAGAGTAGGAGCAGGGAGGGGGAGTCGCCTCCACTGCCTCCGCTGTTGCTGCTCAGTTGCTCCCAGGTGCTGCACCTATTTCTCTGCACTGAGCCGGTCAGGGCTGGGCCAGTGAGAAGCCGGCTAGCTAGCAAGGAGTGGAGGGTCCTGAAGGTGCTTCAGGAGAGCAGATCTCTTCCCAAGTGTTACAGCTCTTGTGACAGAAACTCCCAGACAACAGGATGATTCTTGCACACCTCTACTTCTTCTGAATAGGGCTCTTATATACAGTTTTGGGGTGGGTCAGGATCTGGCAGCAGATAACCCACATTGGCTTGGTCTGAGAGCTTGGAGATACCTCATCTACATGTGGGAGAGCCTGAGGCACTGTTCCTCGTGACTGATGGCCATAGACCTCTCTGTGGGAGGGGCTGCGGAGGATTGAAGCTAAGTGAAAGGAACCAGGGCCCAGGAGCAAAGCTGAACATCTACCGTACCATTAGAGTCTGAGGTTCGAGGCCTGTGCTCGACCAGGCACCCAGCTACCTCTCATAGCCCACTGCCCCACACTCTTCTAGGTCCTTTAGGAACCTGAACTCATGTGGTACAAACTCATGAAGGCATGCACATGTACACCGATGATAAATTAAATTTTTTTATTTATGTGTATACATGTTTTGTCTGCATGTAAGTGTGTGTACCACATGGTGCCCTCAGAGGCCCTACTCAGAGCTGGAGTTACAGACAGTTGTGAGTCACCATGTGGGTGCTAGGAACTGAACTCATGTCCTCTGAAAGAGTAATCAGTTCCCTTAACCACTGAGCCATCTCTCCAGACTCTAAATTTAAAAAAGAAAAGATAAAAATAAATTTTTTTGGAGATAACGTCTATGTAGCTGTGACCATCCTAGAACTAGCTACATAGACCAGGCTGGCCTCAAACTCTCAGAGATCTCCCCGCCTCTGCCTCTGCCTTAGCCTCCCTTGTGCTGGGATTAAAGGCATGCATCACCTTCTTGAATCCCTAAATAAATAGTACAAAACAAAACAAGACTGACTTTTCAGTTGGCCAGCCTGTCTTCCGGGTTTCTACCTCAGAGGACAGTCTGAAGATTCTAGCTTCAGCCTCAGCTCATAGGATTTTAATTAAGGTGCGTGTCTGTGGAGACACAGACTTTTTAATTAAACCAGTCAATTTTTTTTTTTCTAGAAAGCAGTTTCACTCCAAGTTAGGCATTAAGAGTTCTGCCAAAAGTTTACTTTGTGCATCAATAATGTCAAAGAGAAAAAAACAGGGTGGGGCTGGAGAGATGGCTCAGCGGTTAAGAGCACTGACTGCTCTTCCAGAGGTCCTGAGTTCAAATCCCAGCAACCACATGGTGGCTCACAACCATCTATAATGAGATTGGATGCCCTATTCTGGTGTGTCTGAAGACAGCGACAGTGTACTCATAAATAAAATAAATAAATAAATAAAAATAAAAAAAAAAGAAAAAAACAGGGTGTTTAATTTCTGTGAACAAAATAATAATGACTGTGTGTTAGGATTTCTTTAAAATAAATAAAAAGATTTATTTATTTATTTATGAGTACACACTGCAGCTATCTTCAGACATACATTAGAAGAGGGCATCAAATCACATTACTGATGGTTCTGAGCCACCATGTGGTTGCTGGGAATTGAACTCAGGACCTCTGAGCAGAGCAGTCGGTGCTCTTAACCACTGAGCCATCTCTCCAGCCCAGGATTTCTTCTTTATGAGCTCAACCTTTCCCAGATTTCCTGTAGTGAGAAGACCTCATTCATGGGAAGTTAAAAAAAATCAGGAGTGGAGAGATGGTTCAGTGGGTAAAGCATTTTTTATCTCAGAAACCTGAGGACCTGAGTTTGGATCCCCAGCCTGGCACAAGGGTAAGCATCTCTAACCCTAGCATTGAGGGACAGACACCAGGGGGTGCTGGGGGGTTCACTGGCTAGTCAGTCCAGCCAAAACTGGAACTTCAGGCTCCAGGCTCAGTCAGGGACCCTGTCTCAGAACAAAATACAATAGATGTTGCATCAGCCCAGCCTCTGGCATGCACACATGCACACATGGCAGAGTACAGCCTCCCTGTGTACACCCAGGTGCAGGAGCACACATACACTGAAAAAATAATCAAGATCAGTATACTGGTTTTGTGTCGACTTGACACAAGCTGGAGTCATCAGAGAGGAAGGAGCCTCAGCTGAGGAAATGCCTCTATGATATCCAACTGTAAGGCATTTTCTCAATTAAGTGATCAAGGTGGGAGGGCCCAGCCCATTGTGGGTGGTACCATCCCTGGGCTGGTAGTCTTGGGTTCTATAAGAAAGCATGGGGAAACAGGCCAGTAAGCCACATTCATCTATGGTCTCTGCATCAGCTCCTGCCTCCAGGTTCCTGTCATGCTTAAGTTCCTGTCCTGACTTCCTTTGGAAGTGGAAGTGTAAGCTGAATAAAGCCTTTCCTCCCCAACTTGCTTTTTGGTCACATAGTTTTTTGGTCATGTGGTTTCGTTGCAGTAATTAAAAACCCTAAGACAAACAGCAAGATGGCTAGCAGGTCGAATGAAGCACTTGCCGACAAGCCTGACAAAAGAAAGAGTTAAAAAGAAAAGAAAATCAGATCTGGAGAGTTGGTCCAGTGGCTAAAACCAAATAAACACTCGTATAAAGAACCCAAGTTCAGGTCCCAGTACCCATTTGGGTACTCCTCTTCTGCACTCCTCAGGCACGCATGTGCACACACACACACACACAGAGAGAGAGAGAGAGAGACAGAGACAGAGACAGAGACAGAGAGAGAGAGAGAATCATTTTAAAATAAAATCTTAAAATAAAATGATTAGAGCTAGCATTTGTGTAAACCTGAGCATTTCCAACCTGGGATGCCAAATGCGATCAGGCCTGCATGGAATTTGGGCGGGAGACACGCAACCTCCACAGTCATCAACAATGACAATCATAGTTGGTGCATGGCATATGTCCCTCCCCTGGCTCTCACTGTGGCTGAATGATGTTCACTTAACATTAGTACTACCAGGTGGGGCACCCCACCCTCTCTGGAGTCTGTGAGACTTTAGCCTAGTATGGTCACACATGACAACAGCTCCCAAATAAAGATACTTTGTGGCACTCCCTGGCACACCCCATTTCAGACCAAGATTCAGGTTCCAAGATGTGCAGTTCCCTACTGCTTCAGAACAAATATGAGGCATGGCAGACATTGAGGCTGTGGCAACTTTTTAATAAAACAAAGATGCCATCAGCATATTTCCTGTGTGGAATGCAGAATACAAGACATTACGGCCGGCCCTATTTGCATATTTTTCTCTCCGGAAAGGAAAACTGTTTTCTGAGAAGGCAGTGAGACCCAAACCTTTAGAATAGGGCTCTTGTCGAGGATTAGGGGCGTCCGTGCTCCCTAAAGCCGCCCTGAGTCAGGAGAGCCGGAGGACAGGCATCCAGCTCCCTTAGTCACAGAAGGATGGCCTGTTAACATTGTAACTGGGGTGAAAGTTAAAGCGATCATAGTGGGTGACATGATTGTCGGGCCCGGTCACTATGCTCTTGTCCAGACTGACATTAATATTATGACTCCGGAACATTCCAAAAGCTGCGTGCTGTCTGGAAAACTTATTTGAAGATGGATAAAATACTTTCTGAAAGTCAAACAAACAAACAAGAGGATTAGTGGTGTGCGGTAACACTCAAGCAGTCAGATCGACTGGTATTTTGGACAAAGAGGAAGATTTAGTGAGGAAATATAGCCTCTGATGCTAGGAAGGCCGGAAACCAAGCAGAGCAAGATGGCCTCCTTTGCCCCAAGCATCCCAGTTTGTGCTGTGTCTAATATGATTAACACTGCCTCCTTTCCACACTACATGGACATCGAGAGAAGTTACAGGATCAGCTGCACGCCACACCTCCACGCCTGCAGCCTCTTCTCCACGGCCTTTTGTAAAGGCAGAAGCGAGGGCGTAGCTCAGCCAGGAGAACACCAGGTCTATCATTCGCAAAGCACTTCATGAAACAGAATGTGGTAGAGCACACGTTTAACCCAGCATTTGGGAGGTAGAGGCAAGAGGTTCAGACTTCAAAGCTTTGGACTGATGTAGAACTAGTTCTGACTAACTTGAGACCACGTCTCCAAGAAAAAAGCCAAAGGCACTTATGCTTGAAAAAAGGAGAACCAGTTCTTACAAGTGGTCCTCTGAGGAGCTGGAGAGATGGCTCAGCGGTTAGGAGCACTGACTGCTCTTCCAGAGGTCCTGAGTTCAATTCTCAGCAATCACATGGTGGCTCACAGCCATCTGTAATGGAAGTCTGATGCCCTCTTCTGATGTGTCTGAAGACAGCTACAGTGTACTCACATACATAAAATAAATAAATAAATCTTTTTTTTAAAAAAAAGTGGTCCTCTGACCCCCACATATGTGTGCCATGGCATATCCCAACACTGAGACAAGGTCAATGCATTTAAGAATTCACGGGCAGCAGGATCCATGGTACTGCTTCCCACACAAACACCTTTGGAACACTGACTCCAGAAGATCTTTTCGTGGACAGGCTCTTCAGAGGAGTTCTGTCACTCATATGAACACTTGGCTTCACTAATTTGCCTTTGGGTGCCCACACAAAAGCGTGCATGCCCATGTGAAGAGGTGTATACCTGTCTGACAGAGAGGAGAGTGTGGAAGCAAGTCTATTTGGACTTTTTTTGGTTTTGTTTTTGTTTTTTGAGTCAGGATTTCTCTGTGTAGCCCTGGCTGTCCTGGAACTCACTCGGTAGACCAGGCTGACCCCAAACTCAGAAATCTGCCTGCTTCTGCCTCCTCCCAAGTGCTGGGATTAAAGGCGTGCACCACCACCACCCGGCTGGACTTTTCATCCTACAATATATTTTGCTTCGAAATTGTATTCTATCATCTCTCTTCTCTGCCTTGTTCTGATGCGATTTGAGGTGCCACACATTTACAATGTGGGAACCTGATTTTCAACTCTGGCTCCTCACAAGTCCACTCTTCCAGATAGCACCTCCCCTGCCATGTGTGGCTTGCACTTACCGGCATCTCATGAACTGTGGGAGCTCTGCTCCCATAGGTTTGGTTACTGGTCCTGTACATGGAAACAGCTTCGTTGGTCCTGTGGAAGACAAATAGCCTGTCTCTCACACATACTCAAAATAAGTCAGCCTGGAAGAATTTGATTGATGAAATTTTTTTGGCGATGTCCCTGATGACAATACCATGTCAACTGGGCTCCCACTAAGAGAACTCTCTCCCAGCAGGCCTGTGTCTCTGGCCTCCTCTGCTAGCCATGGCCCCTGATCCTTCTGAGGGAAACCCCTACAGAACACCCAGCCAGCAAATGCTGGAGGAGGGGTCTCGATGGAACCTTGGCACAGATTGCCACTGCCAGGTATGTTAGCTACTTTGGGGACAACACCTCAGCTTCCAGACCCTATCACCCAGGAGTCCCTCTGCTTTTGAGCCCCAACCTTATAGAGGCCAAGCTTTTGCCAGTTAGAGAGGAAGAAGTAAATCTAGTTTGTGAGGCTGTGGTCTGTGACGCAGAGGCTACCAGCAGTTCTTCTTCACACCGGAGGCCTCAGCAAGCTGTCTTCTTACTGGTAGAAAGGGAGTGTGCCTGCACCTGCTTCACAGAAGTCAAGAAGGCTTCCATACTTATTTCCAAGAGAACCAGGCTGCCCTGTAAGGTGTACAACTTTCAGGGAAGCTTTAAAAATAGAGACATCTCCTGTCTGCAACGAGGCTATGTTCACACACATTCACTCTTGTGGTTGCTCAGACAGCAGGACCTTATAGCAATGGTGACACAAGGCCCAGGGTTCATGTCTGGCTCCTTTTGACCTCAGCAGCCAGACACTTGGGAATTCTCATACACATGGCCAAAGCTAGGGCCACCCTGCTGCATGTATGAGGTAACTTCAGTCTTCCTTACCTGTAGCCATGAAACCACGCTGGGTTGTTGAACCTGACTGGGAGCTTCTCGCTAATGCGGTAGTAGTCGCTCGTCTTCTCTGGGGCGGGCTTAGCCTTGGGCTCCCCCGGCTTGGTGCACTCTTGGGGTTTTTCTTCAGACATTTGGCCTCTCGCAGGAAATTAGCCCAGGACAGTCAAGTCTGTGGCTGCTGCGGCAGGGCGTCTTGTTGCTAGGCAATGAAGTCACCTGACTAGGAGGCGGGTTTGTAGGCTGCTTTGTCTAAGAGCAGTAGGGAAGTCTAGAATCTTCCAGAGGGCGAATTACAAAGGAGACCATGAATTCTAAACAAAGAATTCCAAGCTTCCACACGCTGTTCCTCTGGGAGTTCCGCTGGACTTTTTCTGGGACTGTGGGAACATCTCTGTATCGTCCCAAAATGCACTAGGATAAATGAAACCTTAGAACCTGGGACTTCACCAGCCAATAGGCAGGGATTAGGTGTTTCCAATCTCTGCCTGAGCAAGTATTCACTAGTCTGTCGTTTACTGTACTGACCATGGCTTCTCCTTGGCCTCTATCACCCCACCCCACCCCCCAACTCAGTGTAAATCTAGATGTGATGTGTTGCTAAATTTAGGGAATCCTATGCCAAATACTGGTGAAATATAAAAAATGATCTTGTGAGCCATGCACGTAGTTCATATGGAAGAGTAGCTCATACGCAAGAGTGACCGCATTAATGAAGTGTTAGTGCAATGCCAGGAGGCAGATCTCTGAGTTTGAGACCAGCCTGACTTACAAAGAGCGTCCTAGGCCAGTCAGGGGTAGGTATATCGTGAGACCTTATCTTAACAACAATAATAAAAATAAATAATAATTTAAAAACAAACAATAAAAACTGTTTGGGGTGCAGTGTGGTGGTGTGCACCAATAATTCCAACACCAAGGAGACAGAGGCAGATCTCTATGAATGTTTGGCCAGCCAGAGAGACTGGTCTTCATTGTCATTATTTAATGTAATTTGGGGATGGAGAGATGAGTCAGCATTTAAGTGGATTTGTTGCTCTTGCAGGGAAACTGGGTTCAACTCCCAGAGCCTACAGGGTGACTCATAAACATCTTTAACTCTAGTTCCTGGAGGTCAGCCACCTTCTTCTGATCTCCACGAGGACTAGGTACTCACAAGGTGCATATACATACACGTAGGCAAAAAATAAGTAAATCTAAAACAAATGTTTTTAAAAAGAAAAAAAATGTAATTAAAAACCAAACAATGAACAGGGCATGTCTTTAATCCTAGCTCCCCAGAGGCAGAGGCAGGTTGCTCTCTGAGTTCAGGCCAACCTGGTCTACAGAGAGAATTCCACGACAGTCAAGGCTACACAGAGAAACCCTGTCTCGGGGGGGGGGGGGGGGGGGGGGGAACGGCAGCCGCTGAAAAAAACACTTTTAGCAA